GGAGATGGAGACGGCTTTCTCTAACGGGAGATTGCCGTGAAGGAAAGAAAAATAATTCAATTTAGGTTTGGGGCCAATTGTAATAAAAAAGAATAATTTGATGTGGAGTATTGTTTCCACATGTCTATTTCTTAGTGGTCCAAGTGTGGAGGGTTTCAAAACCCTCAATTTTGAAATGGCACCAAAGGAATCGCCCGATTCCTTGGGTGCACCTTCTGAAAAGGGTGTTTTAAAACACTCTCTACTTGTGCCAATTATTAATTGACATGTGTACACAAATGCCACCTCATTTAAGTATCATCAAGTTAATGTTTTTTTGCAACTAAGTCCCAGGGTTATCTAAGCAAATTAGATTCAATCTTCATTTTTGCCCTTCCGTTTCCTTTTCCGTCAAGTGTCTACCTCTCAATCTGGAATTGCCCATGCACCTCTAAGAATTGCTCTCAACCGGAAGAAATTGTTCTCAATCCGACGGAATCACCTTCTCTCTTCGTTTAGATCTTGAGCTCAATCAATCTATTTTCGTTTCTCTTTGTGTAGCATCTAATTTTTTTTGTGTGCCAAATTTCTATTGTTCATGCGTTGCACCTTCTCAAGCGGTCTTAGCCTTTCAGTTTTAGACCCTCAGGTAGCAAGAGTCTCTTTTCCGGGGAGGGCAAGTGCAGGTTCTCCTTCTTCGAGCTAGGGTTTCTTCTTTTTAAGGTTTCTCTTCTACCCCTTTTTAATACTCCGCAGTTTTTTAATATTTAGATTCAATTTCTTTTGATGATTTATTATTCGATATTATTTAAATAATAGGTTGTGAAAATTTTAAAACAATCTTATGGACCGAATTTGAAAAGACTAATACAATTTTTCATCTCTTTTGTTGGATAAAGATTTAAAATATTTGAGATAAAGATTTAAAATATTTGAGATTGTGTTTGGAAATTATTGTGAGTACTAACCAAATTTGCCATTGTTTTGTATGGTCGAGATTAAGTACACATTCTTTTTTGTATATGATATAAACAAGTTGTATGTCCTTTTCGTTTTATCTATTTTCTCTATTAGACAACATATAATTTAACTACTCTTTATATGAGTATATTTTTAGAAAAATCTCAAACTTGGATTGTTAATCTGCATTACATGTTTGTTGTGGTTAATCTATGTTTAAGACCACAAATTTGCCTAATATTTTCTTGTGAGGAATGGATTATATGAAATTGGGTTGAATTCATCTACATTATTTACTTTATTCTATCATATTAAGGGCGAACATGGAAAGTCTTTACATTATTTAACTTTTTATAAGGTTGGTTTCGTTCAACTTATTTTTTCAGATTATTACTTATTCTTATTAACATCAGATCAGACAATCAGACCAGACCAGGTCAGAAAACAATTACAAATATAACTACAATTAGATCAGATGAGACTAGATCTTCAAAAAATTAGATAAGATTAGATTAGGCGAACAAAATGCAACCTTAATCTTCAAACTTATTGGTCCTAATTCAGTCTATTTAAATTTAACAAGTCTGATTAAACTTGATATGATTTTAACATTTTTCTCTTTGGTGACACTATTGTTTCTCTTTGAGATTTCTCAACTCAGTGTTATTTTTCTTTTTGAGCCTTTAGTATTCTCATCTTAATACGGGGTATTACAATAATAGTGATAAAAGTATTAATTATAAGAAGACTAATAATAATAATAATAATAATAATAATAATAATAATAATAATAATAATAATAATAATAATAATAATAGTAATATTAGTAAGAATGATAATAATAATAATAGTAGTAGTAGTAGTAATAATAATAAATAATAGTAATAATTATAATAAGGATAGTAATAATAATAATAATAGTCATAATAATAATAATAAGTGTAAGAGATATAATAATAATAGTAATAGTAATAATGATAATAACAATAATAATTTTTTTAGATTCGGTCTGATCTGATCTAGTATGATCTAATCTGGTCTGATTTGATATGGCCTGATCTGGTCTGATTTAGTTTGATCTGATTGAATCTAATCTAATTTTAATAAGAATAAATAATTAGAAGAAAAAATAAGTTAAACAGAACGCTGCCTACATACGTCTACACTAATTTGTAATTATAATATAAGTAATGAAATTTTGCACAACGATCTGATAGGGAGAAGCATTGTAGGACGGATGGAGAATTACTTCTTACTCCGTAAAAAATGAAATATTTTTCTCCCATTTTTTCTGTAGAAGTTTTGATATACTTCTGAACAGTGTAATATATATTTCTTACTATGTATTTTTATACTAATTTTAAATTACAGTAATTTTAAAAGTAATGAAAATTTACAAATGGTTTGGAGAGTGACAAGCATCGTGGAATAGATGGAATACTCTCTCTCTCTCTTTCTCCAAAATAACTCTTTATCTTCCTTTATCCCCATAATTTTAGTTTGTTCAAAAATTCTTTCAAATTAAATGAGGAACCTAGCAGAGATTATATTTTTCATTTCATTTTTTAAATTCTCAAATCTGGATGCTCGATATATCCATAATTTATTTAAAAAGACATGGAGTCACCATATGGTTTTCCCTCCCATAGAGTATGACAATTGCAAATGGCAATTGTAAAATTAAAATGGTAAGTTGCCGAAATTATAGTAATAATTATTATAATTATTATATTTATAATAATTAAAGAAATGTAAGTTAAAATGGCCGTAAGGTAAATTAATAATTGCAGTGGCCGAAATTATAGTAATAATTATTATATTTATAATAATTATAAAATGACCGGAAGGTAAGTTAATAAATGTGAAGTTAAAATGGTAAGTGGCTGAAATTGTGAAGTTCTAATTATTAAAAAAAAGTATAACTATAATAATTAACGTATTGGAAATTGGAAATAATTAAAAAGGTAAGTTAATAATTGTAGTGGTCAAAATTGTAGTAATAATTATTATATTTATAATAATTATAAAATGGCCGAAAGGTAAGTTAATAATTGTGAAACTAAAATGGAAAGTGGCTGAAATTGTGAAGTTATAATTATTAAAAAAGGTATATATATAATAATTAACGTATTGAAAATTGGAACTGATTAAAAAAGGTAAGTTAATAATTGTAGTGGCCGAAATTGTAGTAATAATCATTACAATTATTATATTTATAATAATTATAAAATGGCTGAAAGGTAAGTATATAATTGTGATGTTAAAATGGTAAGTGGCCGAAATTGTGGATTTATAATTATTAAAAAAGGTATAAATATAATAATAGCTATTATTTTTATAATAATAATTAATTAACGTATTGTAAGTGTGAAGTTAATATAGCTATTATTTTTATAATAATTAACGTGAGTAATATAAAATGGTAAGCGTGACGTTAATATAATTATTATATATATAATAATTAAGGTATTGAAAATTAGAAATAATTAAAAAAGGTAAGTTATAAAATTGGAGAGCGTAAGTTTTTAATAAAATTGGAATCAATGTATTATATGCTAATAATTAACCAACGTTATTTTGACTACTGATTGGAAACGTCTGAAATTATGGTAAGAATAAATAACTGTCAATAGATTAAATAGATTAAAAGAGTGTATTGGATGGTGTGTAAAAATGAAAGTGGACAAATACTCTGGGGCGGAGTTAGTATAATTATTTTTATAATAATTAACATGAGTAATATAAAATGGTAAGCCATCGGAAGCTAATATAATTATTATATTTATAATAATTAATGTATTAAAAAAGGTAAGTCATACAAATCCAAAGCGTAAGTTTTTAATAAAGGATAATAAAGGTAAGTTATAAAAATGCAAAGAGTAAGTTTTTGAAAATTGGAAATAATTAAAAAAAGGTAAGTTATACAATTATACACTCAATTTTGAAAAAAAATAATTATGGTAAGAATAATTATACACCCAATTTCGAAAAAAGTTAACCCTTCTTATTATAATTATAATTATAATAGCCTATAGCCTATTACAATTAAATATACTATAAATATTCCTACAAATTGTACAATAATGTAGTCTATAAAGATGTCTTTCGAAATTTGTAAAGCAGTGATGATTTTTACCTTAAAATAATATAATCTCTATATTTTATTGCATCTCATTTTTATTATTGAAAAATGATTTAAAGTTAATAACATAAAAATGTCCCGCACAACGCACGGGTGTGATACTAGTTTCAATGTACTTAAGAATATGAGTGTGAAACTAGAATAAACAATTCTCGTTAAGTACTTGACTATTCCTATCTCTTTCATTATTACTCCTTTCTCTTTAAAAACGAGTGTCCATTTTTTATTACAATGTTTAATTATAATTATTTGAATTCATTTTCTTTGAAAACAGGCATGAAATTAAAAAATAAAAATTAAATAATAGGAGAATAGTACATCTATTTCCAAATGGAATTTTCATATTTTAATACAGGATTAGAAACCTCAATCTACTTCTTGCTACAACTGGAAAAATTTGCTTCAAGTCAAAGATAAATTCAAGAACATGGACAAAAGTATGGAGTATTTTTTGTTGTCCAAGATCTAAACGAAGAGATCGAGAAGGTGATTCCGTCGGATTGAGAACAATTTCTTCCGGTTGAGAGCAATTCTTAGAGGTGCAGGGGCAATTCCAGATTGAGAGGTAGACACTTGACGGAAAAGGAAACGGAAGGGCAAAAATGAAGATTGAATCTAATTTGCTTAGATAACCCTGGGACTTAGTTGTAAAAAACATTAACTTGATGATACTTAAATGAGGTGGCATTTGTGTACACATGTCAATTAATAATTGGTACAAGTAGAGAGTGTTTTAGAATACCCTTTTCAGAAGGTGCACCCAAGGAATCGCCGTATACAAGTAAAAATACACTTTTGCAAGAAAATTGTGTGTTCTAAAAATGTAATGGTTCAAACCCTTGTAACGACATTTTAGAAAAATACAATAATATATTATCGGAAAAACAATTTATAATGTCGTTTTAGGAAACTATAATATAATACCGGGTAACATTATTTTGGAAAAAAAAATACTCCATTACAAAATTATTACTCCTTCTAGTCCATTTTTTTTATTTTTTAGTTCAAACAGTGACACTCTTTTCGTCCTCCCTCCTTTTTTCTTTGTTCCCACACGGCCACACCTTCCCTTTTCCTTCTTCTCCCATTATTATTATTATTATTATTATTATTATTATTATTATTATTATTATTATTATTATTATTATTATTATTATTATTATTATTATTATTATTATTACTCCCTCCGTCCGGAAATAATCTTCCCATTTCTCCTTTTTCTCCGTCCGGAAATAATCTTCCCATTTCTCCTTTTTCTCCGTCCGGAAATAATCTTCCCATTTCATTTTTTATACACTAACTACCCAAAATACCCCCACTTACAAATACTCACCCTATCTCTCCCCTCCCCCTTTCTCTCTCCTCCCTTCCTCGCCTCTCTCCTCTCTTTCCTTTCTCTTCTCTTTTTCTTCTTCTTTTCTTCTCTCCACAACTAGTATCACTCCCGTGCGTTGCACGGTTAATATTTTTAATATGAAATTACTTAATCACTTTATTATTTAAAAAGTAAAATTAATAAAAAATATCTTATTAAATCAAAATATAAAATTTAAAGAAATTTGACATTTGATTTTTTTGTGAACTACATTGTTATCGCTATAAAAAAACCCCACATTAGCAGTACAGCTAATAGATACAAAATGAAATTTATGTAGTATTTAATAAGTAATGAAGTAAAAATATGTATTAATCACTTGCCCAAATACAAATATATAGTAATTAAAAAATATAAACTTAAAACTAAGAACTTTGCGTTAAATTGATAATATTATAAATCAATTAGATTACAAATTACCAATTTGAACAATTACATTAGGTTAGAAATTATAAACAAATACATTTAATAAGAAATGCAATATATCAATTTTATTGATTGTATTTGAAAATTGCAGTCATTTAAAATTTGGATCATTTTTATGATTTACAAATAATCTTTAAAGTTGAATCACACATTATATTATTTCTATCTAAATATTTGTGACAATCCCATATGAAATGAATTTAAAACGTTAGTACAAAAATTATTTTTAAACTTGGGTAGAAACTAAAAATTAATAGATGATAGAAATTCACATGTGGAGCAAATATTTATACATGCAAGAAGGAATTTGAAAAGGAAATAGACGTGCAAAAATTTTCATTATAAATAATGACATTATGTATGGTAATTAATAATAAATGTACAATAATATTTATGTTCCTTACGGCTTTTGGTTACCTTTTATGTTTTACACTAACTATTACCCCTTTCGTCCCAAAAAGTCTGTGCCGTTTTATTTTTTGCGCATCCCATAAAACACTTCTATATCGCCTCAAATGTCAAAAAAAACTTCCAAAATGCCTCCTACCCATAATAAAGGGTAAATGTGATAAATTGTAGGCATTTTAGATGTTGGTAGAAGTGTTTTTGGGATGTGCAAAAAATGAAACGGGACAGACTTTTTGGGACGGAGGGAGTATAATTCTTCATTTAACATTTATAATATATTTACTATTTTATTTAAGTAATGCTAGAGTCACAAACAAACCGTTCATAAAAATCACAAACTTATCTTTTTAAATTATTAGTAGAAATAAAGTACACTTAAATAATAAAAGATATTTTAATATAACATCTACAAAAGACAAATTTGTGAAGTTTGTGAGTTATTTGTTTGTGACTCTATCATTTATCACATAAAATATATATTTAAAGGATATATAATTCTTATCGTCATTATATGAGTGTTTTAACGTTTCTTTACAAAAGTTGAAGTATAATGCACGTAAAGGAAACTTAAATGTACTGTTTATTTTCTTCTTTAATTTTAATAGTGTAATAATTTAATTCTTACTAATTTTTAATTCTTACTGTTTGGTTTAGTTTCTTACCATAGGCAATTGAAGGATTATTTAATTCTTATCGTTTTTATGATTTCCTCCTTTAAGTTTAATAATGTAGTACTTTAATTCTTACCATTTTGGACCGAATAATGTAATACTTTAATTCTTACTATTTTTTAATTCTTACCGAGTTACCGTCTGTTTTCTTACCATTGGCAATTGATGGCTTATTTAATTCTTACCATTTTTATTGATTTCCTCCTTTAATTCTAATAATGTAATAATAATATAATATATCAACCCTAATTTAATATATCAGCCGTAGATCAATAATTGATTAAAGATGGACGGCTCCCAAAGCTTTGTGTTTAGGCGGGATAATGTTGGGCACAATTTCCCCTGCTAGATTGATTGTTCCTCCTGCAGATCCGTTCATTTTCTTCTTCTTCTTCCTCTTCCCGAGTTCTTTCTCACCCTGTTTTTTCTCCAGATCTATTCCTTCTTCTTCTTTTTCTTCTTCTTCTTCTCCTCCTCCTTCTCCCCTCCGTTCTTTCTTGTCCTCCTTTTTCCGTCCAGATCCATTCCTCTTTCTTCTTCTTCTTATTCTTTTTCTTCTCCCCCCAATTCTTTCTCATCCCTCTTTTCTTTCTCTAAATCAATTCATCTTCTTTTTTGTTCTTCTTATTCCCCTTTTTCTCCTATTTGTTTGTCTTCTAAATCTGTAAGGTCTGGGAAGATCTAGGGGCTGAAGTGGTGGTGGGGGCTGTGGCGATTGTGGGGGGTCGACGGTGGTTTTGGATCTGCCGTAGCAGTGGTATCGACGGAAATGGTGAGAGCAAAAGGCAGGGGTAGTGGGTGGGGACAATTGGGGGAATGGTATTTTGGACTTTTCCATCCTAAAGTCAACACTTCATAAAAATGGGAAAAAGTCCAAATGGGAAGTTTAATTCCGGATGGAGGGAGTATTATTATTATTATTCAAAATGAAAAAAATGAAATTAACCATGTACAAAATTAACATTTTGGGCTTATTTTTTTTTGGAGTACTTATGCTTCCAAATTAATACCAAATTTGTTTTTAATAATCAGTTTAATTTTAATTAACTTTTTAACAAACTAAAGTAAGTTTTCTCGTACAAGCCTAACAAGCGTCGTCTTCCGTTTTTTGCCTTTGGAATGTCGATCTAATACCAAAATATCAAAGTTTTATCAGAAAAAATAGCAGTATCAGAGGGCTGGGAAAAAGAAATAGAGCAAGCGCAATGAAAAAAGTGAATTTCGTTCTACATCTTCTGTTGGGGTGTTTAAGCGTGCTCTCTTCAGCCGTTATTTCCGATCTGAGCATCTCCAAGCTTGATCGAAAGGTACAATCTCATCTTGTTTCAGACTGACATCTTATTATTGCTTTGTTCTTCTTCCTCTTTCAATGCTACTTTAGTTTTATGGATTTTGATTTCTTAATGCATAGTTCTTTCTTAGTTTTTAAATGATTACTTTAGGCGATAAATGAATGCAGGTGAAATTGGTACTTTTAGTTTGCAGTGCCATAGCTGTAATTGCTCTTTTGTGCTCTGTGGCAAAAGAATATAGATTGCCTAATTGTTTTTTGACTAGTTGGTAGAGTTTGTCAATGCAGTGATACCTTTTTGCCTAATTGCATACTTGTTGTTGTTCTTGTTGTTTATTGAAACCCTTAACTGACTAGTTTATAGGCTGCTGTGACTAACCTGTACCCGGTTAAAGTTTTGTCTCAGGCTGCTGACTTCTCTTACTTAACTTGCAGATTGATTTGACATCCCAAGTAATCAGGAGCACTACTTCTCTGAAGGTTGGTTATTACTCCTTTCTCTTTCACTCGGGAATCTGTTTCAACAGAAAAATAATTTATGGTCCAGTTACAACAACTCTTATAGCAGTGTTTGAAAGTCTGCGCTTTGCACATCAATATGTAAACACATGACCTGGATTGATTTGTTTGAGACATGCCCTTTTTTCCCTTTCAGATATACAATTCTGGTAATGATCCTGCAACAGAGGTCTTGTTGCCTTTCCCTGGTCACCAGGCAGAGCACTTGGCATTCTTGATTGCTGCAACTAGTGAAGGGAAAGTGAAAGCTAAAATGTCCTCAGGTAGCCTTCCTGTTAAGGTTGTCAATCCTGATGGACTGCCCACGGAGCTGACTTGGTATGCTGTCTCTCTGCCCAAGGAACTAGGCAAGGGAGATAGCATAACTTTGGAGGTGAAGGCAGTATTGACCCACTCATTGCGGCCATTCCCTGAGAAGATTACTCAGACAGAGCTGCAGCGTTTCATTTTCCAAGACAGTGCCCATTTTCTCTCTCCTTACTCAGTCCACACACAATCCCTAACTCTTAAGCTTCCTGAGCCAATGGTTGAATCTTATACCAAATTCGAAAATACCCAGTTCTCTGGTTCCGAGCTCAAGTATGGACCTTATCAAAATGTTCCTCCTTTCTCATTCCAACCTATAGCAGTTCACTTTGTCTGCAACAAGCCATTTGTAGTTGCCGAGCAGTTGGTGAAAGAGATAGAAATTTCGCATTGGGGAAATGTGCAGGTAACAGAGCACTATACCCTTGCTCATGCCGGTGCACAGAGCACGGGAGAATTCTCAAGGTAGTACTGTCACCTGCATAAAATTCATTTTCACTAAATTACTGTGAACTTTACCTCATAGGGTTTTACTGGATTTTTTTGTCTTTGTTGCTGTTGATGATGTTGTAGTGTTGTACTATGGAAGTTCACATGTTTTTTCAATGTACAGGTTAGATTACCAGACCCAACAACATATTAGAGGAGCGCCAGCATTTAGGAACCTTGTAGCTAGGCTCCCACCAAGAGCTCATTCCATATACTATCGAGATGATATTGGGAATATTTCAACATCTAATTTATGGAGTGATGCAATCAAGGTTTGAATTTGACTAGTTTTGGAATGATTTGTAGATTTTATTGATCTCTAATGAATCAGTCTATTGTAGACATTGCTGGAAATTGAACCTAGATATCCGATGTTTGGTGGCTGGAAAACTTCTTTCACAATCGGTTATGGCCTGCCACTCCAAGATTTCTTGTTCTACTCAGATGGGGGACGTTTTCTTAATATCACCTTCGGTAGTCCAATGAATGAGGTGGTAATTGACAATCTCGTCATTAAGGTACTGCACTATGATTACAATAGGCTGTTGAGTTTGGACCTTCATGGTACTCCCTCTACCCACCAAACAAGTTCTAGAGTTGAATCACACAGTTTAATGCAAAATAGTTATTTATGTTTAGTTTCCGTATTCTCTCTATATGTAGATTTCAAACATTGTCCCTGTATGTAGATTTTCTTTTTATCACTTTAGTTCAATATTCTAGAGCTATTTCAAAAGGACCTCATTCCTAAAAGCACAAAGTGGCGTAGTGTCCCTAAAGTTTACTTTGCATGTCCTGTTTTAAACAAATAAATGGAGAAGACTTTTCAACAATGTTCTATATGTGTCTGTGGTGTCTTTGGCATGTCAAACACTTATTTCTCCTGTTTAGAAGTATCAGTGCTCCATAGAGCATGCACATATCAATTGGATAGCTTTTGTATTAGATGTTATGGTATCTACTTGATACAATGCTAGCTTATGTGCAGGTTGTTTTACCTGAAGGATCAAATAGCATATCAATCTCTGCTCCATTTCCTTTCAACCAGTATAAAGAGGTATACATAAATTTATTTTGCTACCTCGAGATTTGTCACTTTTGTGTTTTAGATTTTTGATTTGTTTCCTTATTGGTTTGTGCAGACCAAACTTTCCCATTTAGATATGATTGGTAGACCAGTTGTGGTATTAAAAAAGACAAATGTAGTGCCCGAGCACAATCAGTACTTCCAGGTATTCCTATTTTATTGAGATTGAATAATTTATTATGAATAAAGTTCAATCTACATACATTTAGTGTGAAGTGTGCTCCATCCGTTTTACCTTGTTGTTGCGGGACCAACTTTTAATTTCATAAATGAATAAAAAACATAAATACAAGAACTTATTAATGATAGTTCACCATGCGCTTCATTAAGAGCCTGCTCTCTTTGTGATCTGATTGGTTTTGATCAAAATTTTTAATGTCTTATTTGATCCAGGGTTGTAACCAAACCGAATCGAATCAAATACCAATGTATTTGAATTTGTACAGAATATTTTGAACCATTAATATTCTGTAAGGCTAGGGTGGGGGTTTAGGGGTAGGAACCATTAATATTTTGAACAGAGCATTGTAGGTGCTCCAATCAAAGCCAGTGTCACTAAAACCTCACGTCCTCACCGATTTATATTGGTTTGTTACATTTGTTTGACGGAACAACAAACAACAACAACCCAGTTAAATCCCACATGAGTAGGGTCTGGGGAGGGTGTGTGTACGCAGACCTTGCCCCTACTCGAAAGTAGAGAGGCTGTTTCCAAAGAGACCCCCGGCTCAACATCGAAAGTTGCATTGCTTGACTAACTGCTACTTCATTAATTAAAGAAGCGCAGATAGTTTAGGGATCCATTTTGATTTATTCCATCACACCCAAAGCCAAAAAATGGTGAAATTTTGGCTCCATCGGAGATGATGGAAATATTTGTTTTACGGAAATGTGATTAATTTATTTCGTTGGAATAATACATAAAACAATTAAAATGCATATTGTAATAAATTGTTAGGGGAGAATCGGGGGTCTTATGAAGTTGGTGTTTTGGGCTTTGAAATGGGTAGAAAATGGTGGTGTATATGTTGGGAATGGCTGGACGAAAATATGGAGATGATGGAGTTCTTTTGGTGTTTTTAATGGAAAAAAGAATAAAATTAAGAAGAAGAAATGGAAAAGATATGAGATGGAAGAAGTCAGGGGTGGATAAAACCAAGTTGGTGTTAAGAGATATTACACATTCTTATTTAAACTTGAGGTTTGAGTTTAGAATTCAATTAAGATATGACACACTTAATCAAATACCTAGAACCTAAAACTTACACTCAAGATAACCACTCTTAAGATATGGAATTAGAAACTTGGCTAAAATAGCATCATACTATTTTAAAGGAATACTCAAAAGAGTAAACAAAGTTTTTCATTCAGAAATATGATCTTACAAAATGGCTCTTTGGCCGAAATAAATAAGGGAAAAGGGTGAAATACATTGCAAATGTAAGAAGAAAACAGACTAGGAAACTTCCTACACTCCTTCCTCTTTTGCTAGCTTCAAAAGTGAATTGATGTGGACTGATTTGTGTAGCTTTTGGATTGAACATGGGCTGTTTTGGTGATGGGAATTTGTCCATAGGGGGCGGGGGCGGACATGAAGAAGGTGTGTTCTTTGTCCACATTTGCAAAATTTGGTAAAATGACACATCAAGGGTTTGTTTGGTTATTTCTTGGCCTTCTAATGGATATGAGAGGTGCTTTGCATCATTTGGGGGGGGGTGAATTCGACCTAGGGACAAAGGGAGGTGATGGGACCATGTCTTTGATTATATTGCACAATAGGACATAAGACATAACTAATCAATGTCTCTTGATTTGATTTTATTATTTGTGCTGTGTTTTGCTTTGGATTGGGGTTGATATGGCCTGCTTTTTTTGGACAAATATGGAGGATATTTCATGGATAAGGTGTAGGGAAGAGTGGGGAAAGGCCTCATTCAATGAAAGGAATATAATGGAATAAAACAACACACCAAGTTTTTGTTTTGTCTTTTAAGTCCTATTTTTCGGCCAAGGGTGTAAAAAGGAAAAGACTTTATTTTGGATATCAAAAGGAAATAAAATACTTTTGGATGTTTGGGGTTGGGTTGGACGGAGTAGCAGAACCCTCGGGTCAAAACGATGGTCATTTTGGCCTTTGGGGTTTTAGGACCTTTGAATTCAAACTAAAATGGATCATAATGTTTGAATAAAAGTCCTTTGGTCCTCATGGAAGTGTGGGGTGTGAGTGAGAGTTTCATGGGGCCAGGCTCGGGCATAACATAAATTAGCTTGTTTGTTTGAATACTCATTTTGAACCAATAGTGCATACGTGTGTGTCTATATATATATATATGTATGTATGTGTGTGTATACATACATGCATGCATACATACATACATACATACATACATACATACATATATATATATATATGGGATTGACTCCAGTCAAATGACACCTTACGGTGAGATGACATGCTACGGTCAGATGATTCATGATGCAAAGCTCACCACTGACCAATGCAAAGCTCACCAAAGACAACTACAAAGCTCACTAAACTGTAATGCAAAGCTCACCATATTTTTTCAACACTTTGAATTTTTTTTGAAAAAAAATCAAAAGAATTGGTGCTGACTAGACTTTGACCATTGACCATCACCGCCGCCGACCTCCGCCAGCCACCGCCGACCTCTGCTGGCCGCTGACAACTTCCACCGCCACCGCCGACCACCACCGGCGACTTGAGCCGCCGCCGCCGACCTGCGCCACCGCCGTCGACCTCTGCCATTTTCGCCGGCAACCTCCGCCGCCGGTGACCTCCGCCGGTCGCCGGTCGCCGGCGACCACCTTCGCCGCCGCCAGCCTCCGCCGCCGACCTCCGCCGCCGACTTCCGCCGCCGGCCGCCGGCCACCGGCGACCACCTCCGCCGCGCCTCCGCCACTGACCGATGGTTGACCGGTGTTGCTATTTTATTTTTTATTAATTTTTTAATTTTCAAAATAAAAAAAAGGTGAGTTTTGGTGTTCAAAGTGGTGAGCTTTGCCTTATTTCCAGGTGAGCTTTACATTGGCCATTGGTGAGCTTTGCAGTGTAATGTGGTGAGCTTTGCGTCATCTCACCAAAGCATGTCATCTCACCATAAAGTGTCATCTCACTGGAGTCAATCCCATATATATATATATATATGTATGTATGTATGTATATATATATACACACACACACACATATGATATCTATGTATGTATATATCTATCTCTATATGTGTGTGTGTGTGTTATAATGCATATTAGAGTAGTGATTGGTATAAAAAAAAACTTTGGAGTTTGGACTTAATAACTAATAAGTTAGTTGTGCTTGCTAGGAGTCATTGTTTTTCAATTATGTATGGCTTTTACAATTTGTGTAGTGCAGCAATTAGTAAATATAATAGACATCTGAGTCAATGGACTGTTTTAGTAGATAGTAAGAAAGTAATGGATCAATCATATATGTAGAGTAATTCTATTTGTATTCTATACTTTATCTAAATTTTGATTCGCTCTTATGGTTGAGCTCATTTCACTCATATCTTTTCATTTCCAAGAACTCTTGGGTTATTTTACCAATGGTATACGAACTTCAAACATAATTTTACTTCAGTATACAAACTTTTTTTCTTTCACAAAAATACACGAACTTCAATTTTCTTTCACCAAAAGTCCATTAGCAGGTTCTTAAGTCACCAACACGTAACCTGGGGCTAAATTACAATTTTCTAAATTTCAAATTTTAAATTTTGACCCCCATTTTTTTCTTTTTAATTTGTTTCACCCCAATTTTTAATTCTTCCCCGCACACCCCCAACTATATTCTTTCTTTCTTTCTTTCTTTCTTTCTTTTCTTCTTCCAACCCTCACTCCCTCTCCTTTCTTTCTTCTTCGATCATCATCTTCATCTTCTTCCATTTGCATTCCTCACCCCCACCACCACCACCAACTATTTTTTTCTTTCTTCTTATTTCTTTCTTCTTATTTTTCTTTCTCGTGTCAGTAATAATAATAACAATAAAGAGAAAGAAGAAAAAGGAAAATGACATGGGTCTGGTCTTGAGACAATGGTGGCATACCTCGTACAACAGCGGTGTTGCCGATTCTAATTTCGGGGGACGGCAAACGAATATGGACATCGGCATCACCGCCGTCGTTTGAGGTAGGCCTCCACTGTCTCGTGACCACCCCGACATTTTTTCTTTTCTTCTTCTTCTTCTTTCTCCGCTTTATTATTACTATTTTATTATGGAATGTTATGATTATGAATATTATTGTTATTATTATTATTATTGAAAGGAATAAAAGAAAAAGAAGAAGAAAATGGCGTAGGGCGGCCGGAAGAAAAAAACTGGGAGCTGGAAGGAAAAAAAGCCGGGGTGGGTGGCGGGTGTGTGGGGAATAATTAAAAATTGGGGTGAGAAACAGATTAAAGAAAAAAATTGGGGTCAAAATTAAAAATTTTAAATTTATAGTATTGTGATTTAGCCCCCGGTTACCTGTTGGTGACATAGAAACTTGAGAATGGACTTTTGGTGAAAGAAATTTGAAGTTCGTGTATTTATGTGAAAGAAAATAAAGTTGGTACACTGAAGTGAAATTATTTTCAAAGTTTGTATGCCATTGGAGAAATTTACCCAAGAACTCTTACTTGAGGTGTAATAACTCTCCACCTGTTCGTATGAAACTGGCATTCGTTCCGGCTCCCAAGAGTCTTTCCTCAATAGATAGACTAGAATTGTTAAACGAATCTCTATTCCCTATTTCATCACACATTTTCAACTTATTTCATTTCACATGAGTATGTTGAACAACATTCAACTCATTTTTAAGGAATCCCTATTGTTCTGACTCGTCATTTACCTACTTGGTCAAATATGAAATGTCTTTATATGATTTCAAAGGAGATCCTAACCAAACTAGAAGATTAAGATGTCCTGTAGCTTTTACTTTCTTTCAAATCAAAGTATTCTTGCCAATTGTGTCTCAAAGCTTTCTTGCATTTTGTCATAATGACTAACTTGGCCACAAAATTTTGGCTTGCAAAAACTCATCCTCCACCAGCTTTTTATGAACTTCAGTAAAAATCATTCTTTGCTGAGATACAATTATACAAATGCATATTTATTTTGTTTGAGG